TGGGACTCTACCAACACACGAGATATAGAAAATTACTATGATTAATGCTCTCCAATCTCTTTCTTTATATTGTGCCTTGTGTGAGACTCTGGAATGGTGGAAATTCGGGTTTAGCTCGTGTAACCGCGAGTCAAAGTGTTCATGTTCAATGGTGTTCGTAATTCTCGAGGTTTGGAACGAATAGTAAAACAATATTCAAATTCGTTGATTTGTTGTATTCAGATTGTAACCGAGTATGACTTATTTTATGTATTCATATTTTCGCAATCCTACACTGTTTGTATAAATTTTTATCATATATACACGAATAACTAATTGGCCACTAAATGGTACACTACAAAAAGAGAAAACATCCAAGGGTTAGCATCTCCACCCAACCATGCCATTGCTGGCAGGCACCTGCCTTATACAATTAGACCTTGGTCATACATGTGCTGAATCTCTTTCTTGTACTCTGTTAATAACTTATTGGGTATGGTCGGAGTTAATTCTACCACATCACTTATTTTTAGCTTGTAGGTGGGATCACTAACAGGCTCACAATTCTATTAGACAATGAACGCTTTTCATTCCCTATTTTTTCGTATTTTTACTTTACTACACTACCCCTTATTTTGAAAAAAAAAATTGGATTTATGTGAGAGAATTTCGGGTATTGTATATTCAATGATAAATTAATTCTATTCATTAGCCTCAGGTCTTCCTTCACTAAAAATCCATATGGAGTAAATCTAGAGCTTTCCTGACCAACTTTTTCAAACAAATCCATCATGGTTGAGTTTGCTGAAAACTCCTGCACTGACATCTGCAACACCCAAACACCAAATTGTATGTCTAGTCATTATTACTAGACCATGGACCCAAAGATTACAATAAATTGTCATGTCCAACAAAAAGCCATAAAAATATGCTAGGAGGAAACCGACTGCTCAAAGTTACAATCTGATTAAAAAATTGCATTACTCTAGCATCAGAAAAATCATATTTAATGGAGCCCATCATAATACCCCACAGACATAATTTCACTAGATTTCAAGCTCAGATAATATCTTTCTAAGTTTTGTATGTAGTTCACAGATCTAACCTCAAATTTTGTGATTTGGGATTTTTTTTCCTTTTCAAATATGAGTCTGCCTGTTGAAAACACTTTGATTTTATTTCTTAGATTTTTTTTTTTTCTAATTCTAGATTTGAAACTCATTTTTTATGCATATGAGACCACTCTCACTTGTAATTAGGGGTATTCAAATTTTTGATTAGCCGTAATTTCCTACCCTACCCTATTGAACGGTTAGCCGCAAAAATCGAGTAGGAATGCGGAAGAGTTTTGGTCTTCCAATTAAATCGGGTAGGAATATAGAATACCTATCAATTTCTGCATTCCTACCCTACCTTACCCGCACAAAATATATTTAACTTTTTTATATATTTTTTAGTAATTATAAGAGTATTTGAGTGGTATAATTTATATTATAACATTATCATTGTTGTAGATGTTTGAGTTACTAAGACATAGACTTGTTTTTTATGTAGGTTACATGATTTGTGATGAACTAGTGATATATTTGAACAGTTATCATTTTAATGTGTTTCATATAGTTTAAACTTTATATAATTGTTTGTATTTGTGTAACAATTATGATGGATTAATGTCCATGCTTTCTTGTGTTTTAGTATAATTGTTGTTGTAGTTGTTTTAGGTTTTAGTGTTATTGATTTATTGTACTGTTAAATTGATGTATGTTATTTAATTGAATTGTTAAAATGATCCAAAAATTAATAGTTACAAAAATATTTACCCGAATTTCTACCCGATTAATCGGATAGGAAGTTGGGTAGGAATACCACACCTAATCGGGTAGGAAGTTGGTAAGAAAAAATTCTTCCGTAAAGTATTGGGTAGGAAGGCGAAAGACTATATTTCCTACCCGTAGGGTAGGGTGAACACCCCTACTTGTAATTGGCGAATCACTCTACAATATTGACCAAGTCTTTGTCAAAATGCATGAAAAAAATAAGTGTTTTTGTAGACCAAGTGTTTGTCCAAACATAAACCATGGCTGGATATCCAAAGACCGATTTTTTGAACAAAATTTTTTTCTGTTGTACTACTGCCCAGGTTAATGGTGGAAACCCTTTAAGAATTTATGTCATGTGTTTAAGTCTTGTAATTATCTAATTATGATGCATCACCTACACATTCAAACTTCCTGCCTGTATGGTCTTTCATTTATTAACTTTTCTCGTTTGTTGATTTTTTATTAAATATTGATATCATATGACTTTGGTCACATGGTATTCCCATTACATTCAATATTTATTCTTTCTCATCACAACCAGCCTTGTTCGTTATAGATAGATAGAAATCTCTATGCGAGTCTTATCCTTATCCCAAAGCATTAATGGCATCAAGTTGATCAACAATCAACCTAATTGGAGCTCAGAACTATCTAAGACTTACTAAAAGTGCAAATATATATATATTGATTATAAGAACGACAATTGAGTTATTTGCAGGTCAATGTTGTAGTTCTCAGAATCAATATATATTTTAGCCAAATGGACCACAACACAAGGCAATCTAAAACAGAAAATCTCTTATTTTTTTTATCAAATGAAAAGGAGTTTGTTTTCTCTTGATAATTCATACTCAGCCTGTAAGACCCAAAAAATTTAATAAATTGATTAAATGGGTAATACGATAATTAGGTCATTTAAGCAAAGTTAAAATTTTATATAACTCAGATGATAAAACGGACCTCACTATTAGACTTGTCTCGTAAAAATGAGTCGGACATATAAATTTTGTTAAATTTTGAGACAATTGAATTTTTCATGTATCACGTGACAAAATATGTGATCAAGTGATACACGATTAAAATTCCAATACCTTAGATTTTATTTGTGGGATTCATGATATAATTAATATAGTTATCCACTATGACACGTGTTAGAATGAGATTGGTTCTCTAAGATTTTCAACCAATAGAAATAGGACACGTGGCAAGCTCTACACCTGGATATAAAGGGGGCTAAAAAGTAGAAGACAAGTTTCCACTCCCCCGTTCTTTGCAAATTTCGGTATAGAGAGAGAGCTTGGAAGAACTCTTCCACTTCCCCTTCTTCTTTTGTAAAGATATTTCGATCTGATTGTTGTTGTTGGAATTCAATCAACCAAGAATTAAAATTGTTACTACACGACGAGGGTTACCTATCAACACCACGATCGACTATTTTTCCACCAATTTCGGGTTAAGGGTTTGTGAATAGAGCTTGTGAGAGGCTTTGTGGGTTTTCAAGGAACTTATTCACCACCACTTGCTTCTAAGAGGTGTGGGTTCCCTTCTACCTAGTACTAAATTTCAATTTAATGGGTGTATGTGATATGGGTATAATCTATATGTTTGTTAATTGTATAATTAGCATATGTCTAGTGTAGCTAGTGGGTTCTCTTTTGGATTGTTGAGCATGTTATTCTACTACTTGGTAGTATTGGGTAAATGAGCATGTTGTTAAGTTAATTATGGTATGTATGTTATGTGTATGAATTTATGCACCCTACATGTTTGATGAAATGTCATAGTGTAGACGAGTATGCTATGTGGGTTAATTGATGCATATCACATGTTTGATGAAATACTAGAATGAGAAATATATGTTTTGTTGCTATATTTGAGATTGTAAGTCCATCTAAATTGTATTTGGGCATACATGACATGTGCACGGATTTAAGACAATATCCATGATGTATTGGCATGGGAATGTGTGTTTGTGCATGAGTTGATCACTTACCACATAGGTGAGTGGGTGGGGCTTGGGAATTGGACTAACGTCCGATTAGGAAATATGCATGATCATGTGTTGGGGTATAGCAAGAAGGGATAAATTCTCCCTCAGGTGTAAAACTCAATTTTGTCGGTCACACACTAGTCAGTGGTGTAACAAGCACATAAAAATGTCACTGTATGCGGAACCGGGGGTGGAATATCCTCAAAATCCATGTTGGTTTAGTAGTCTGTTGGTAGAAATCCATAAATTACTTGCCCCATAAAGATAAGATATTAAATGAAAGGTTATTGGGTAAGCATAACTCAATGGTGTGGATATGGAGTGCCTGGTTCATGAGCATGACATCACATGTGTCATGGGAACCCGGGGATGGGTTCAGTATTGGATTTTGCATGAATGAAACATCACTTTATATATAGCATCGTTAGTAGCATTTATTTATGTCACATGTTACATATATGAATGCTTTGAGTTATACGAATGTGTATTACCATTATATGCACCATTGGGTTGGGAGGCATACTTTTTAGAAGATATTCTACTGGGCTTTGGCTCACCCCATTGTGGGAAAATATTTTTAAGGACAATGCATGCTTCCATGGATGGCCCGCACTTGGACCCAGCATGATGATAGAGCCAGAGTCCAAGCTCCTATTTTGAGGTCATAGATACCTTTAGTCCTAATTGTAATTACTTAGATAGGCTTGTATTTTTGAATTATACAAAACAAGTATATTCTTTTGTAAAGACATGTAATATGGGGCATTTGTATCTATTCTTTTGATAAATAAATGTTTTGTACATTTGGAGTTGTTGGTATGAGAATTGCTTAAATGTTTACATTGGACCTTGGAAGGTCATTGTAATTGACTTGAGACAGGTTATGTTTTGGGTAGAGTTTTCTGTACAAGGAGACTCTGCTGAAATTTTGCTGAAATTGATCCCCCGGGATCAAAACCTTAAGTAAATTAATAAGGCTTAACGAGTAATAAGAACCCCAGGATTTGGGGTGCTACACGGCCCTATCTTTGGTTAATGATCAAACACCATACCATAGCTTCCCCCTCTCCCTTACAACACACAATTTCTTGCACAATGACCAATAGAGAACCAGATCCAAACCCCACCTCAGGTCACATATTAGATTGGTTAGAGGGTTCACTACTATACCTTTCATCATTCATCGATGATCCGTACAACTCGAGATATCAATGGCGATTCATGGTGGGTTTAAAGACCAAGACCAGGACCAAGAACTGATCAACAATAGTTCTTCCTCTTTGAATAGCAACTCCCCCATAACCACTGTACCTAGCACACCTCCTGCTGATTCCATCATTTCCAATCATCCACCGTTGTACGATTCATCCAAGAAATGAAAAATATCTGATGATTTGGTTCCTAAGGCATCCCAGAACCTCAGCAAGAATCAGCATCGTCGGGCCAATGAGGTGGATGATGGGGATACAGTGGTTGAACAAGGGGTGGAAGTAAAAAAATCAGTTGGAACTAAGAGGGCAATAGCCAAGTCATTAGGAAATAACTGTAATAACGGTGATAACAAAGAAGGAAGGTGGGCAGAGCACTTGCTCAACCCTTGTGCTATAGCCATCACTGCTGGAAACTTGACTCGTGTTCAACACCTCCTGTACGTTCTCCATGAGCTCGCCTCCTCCACCAGTGACGCCAATCACCGCCTTTCCGATCATGGCCTCCGGGCACTGACCCACCATCTCCTCTGTTTCAGCAGGGGCCATTATTTTTGCTTCCATTGGACCAAATTTTTTTAAGCAGACCCTGATTGATTTCAATGATATTAACCCCAGGTTTTGCATCCCTAACAACATAGCAAACTCCTCAATTCTTCAAATTCTCGCAGAAGAAGATCGTTCGCAAAATCTTCACATTCTTGATATTGGGTCTCTCATGGTGTTCAGTGGCCAAAGCTGCATAGATGAAGATGAAGCTGCATATAGAGTATCTCTGCTGCAGTTGAGGTTGCATGGTTGGACTTTCAGCACACCAGAATGTATCTAATTCACTTCAAGAGAGCTATGCACATGCAATTGAGTTGACATGAGATGATTCAAGAGCTGAGCTAGCATAATTAGTTACAGTAGTAGGTTAGGATCTAATTATTGTTATAACAGATTCAGTTAGTTAGAAAAGAGAGTGAGCCAGAAGTGAGATAGTTAGCTCTTGTAATTGTATAAATGTAGACCTTGTGTCATTCAACACAATAATGAAAATGGAGATTCTTTCTTCCAAATCATTTCTTCCTCATTCTTAACAGGAATTGACTCACCGATTTGGTGGGCCACCTCCACTGGTTCGCCTCACTGTCACTCCCTCCATCGACCATAATCAAACCAGCGATACTTCGTTTGCAAATGGTCCACCTGTGTACAATCAGTCCACACGACTCTTGGGGTTTGCCAAGGCCAGGAATATCAATTTACAAGTTAATAGGCTTGATAACCACCCACTAAAGAATTTGAATCCCCAAGTTATCATTCCTCACCTGAAGAAACCTTGGTCGTTTGTGCTCAGTTTAGACTACCGAATTTGAATCACCACACCCCAGACACAAGAACTGAGTTCTCGAGAGTAGTGAGGAGTTTTGAGCCAAAAGGGGTGATTTTGAGCGAAAATTGCAACAATTGGGGACTTTGCAATAGGATTCTTGAGGAGAGTGAAGTACTTATGGAGGTTCCTAGACTCAGCAAGTGCGGCATTTAAAGGGCGTGAGGGTGAAGAAAGAAGGATGATGGAAGTAGAGGCTGCGAAGGCATTGACAAAAACAGGCGAGAGGAAAGAGAAGTGCAAAAGAAAGACAGGTGTTGGGTTTGTTAGGGAGGTGCTTGGAGAGGATGCCCTTGACGGAGCTAGAGCATTATTGAGGAATTATGATAGTAACTGGGAGATGAAAGTGGAAGAGAGAGAGATGGGTGTGTGGGTTTGTGACTTTATTAGAGGCATTTGAGCGAAATCCCGTAGCTAAATATCAGTTAGATACAAGGATGTACCTAAATGGAGAAAAGAACTAAGTGAAATTCAAACATTTCTTAAATCAAGTGGGAGGTGGTCTTAGTTTTTCGAAATCCACTGGAACATGAAATTGGGTCGTATTAATACACCATATCCACTGCAAATAACACGAAAACTAGCATGTTTGCAAGAACTTGGGCGAAAATTTGTTGGCCGGCTACCCACTACCACCACCTTTTTTTTTTTTTTAACCTTCCTTACACAGTCCTTCACCCGACTACTCCCCTCGACGTGGGAGACATGAAACAGGGAGCCAAAAAGTGAGTGAATGACAATCTATCTGGCTCCCCTTGCGCGCCTACAATCGAGTTAAAGCTCAGGATAACCCAGACCGATGACTAACATCAAATGGGAAGTGGGGAAAATCTCCTCCACAAGCTACACCAGTAAGGCAAAAACCGGTATCTACGCCCTAGCCAGTCCACCAATCATCAGAAAGCGCGCACACACGTCATAGATGTTGTAACAGGCAAAACCTTCAAATAACTTTCCAGAGAAGGCCAAAAAGCAATGAACTCAAATCAATCTGCTCAGGGGAGCATCAAGATTCTGAAGAAATCAGGATAAATCTGCACGATATATAAAATAAATATATAATATATACACCAAATTTCATTTTCTAACCACGCCAAATACTTCTCAACGACATCACTGAGAAAATTATCTCCTTTTGACACAAAGGAGTCCGTAGCATTCCTGTTGCTACGGCTTCACCTATAACTGTTGAAGACCACAAATGTTTTCTACTGCTTTACCAAACCTGTGAACACCTTGGCCGCAAACAGCTACTCAAGGAAATTGCAATTTTTCTGTTCCTCAAGAATCATAAATCCTCACAGAATTCCGGATAGTCTGCCTACAAACAGGACATTTTGGTGCTACCTCACGTTCAACTGATTGTGCACAGCGTTGGCAACACACCAGATGCCCACACGGAATGAATGCAGACCGCCTTCTCCTCATTAGGCAGATCACACACAACTCTCCATCTTGAACATCTCCAGTTTCCTCATCCTCTGCTACAGTCTGAGAGTCAGCCTCATTGTTAGCAGCAGCATTTTGTTGCTGGACCTGCCTCAGTTGTCTCCATGCTTTCCATCTATTCCAGTTCCTGAACAAATCAATGTGATTCTGATTAAAGCTCTTAATATCTTGATCAAGGGTGATGCTATTTCTAACCTCTTAAACTTTGATGGCCATTAAGACAATCAAAAGTAATTGAGTCAATTGGGGGTTCTAGTGAATTTTAAGACATGGCACCTTTGAAAGAATTATTTAAATTTTCTTCTTTGATTAATTCACAGCTTTTCAAAGAACTAAATCATTTGCCTGGATTTGGCAGCTCTATTCTGCTTGAAATATCCACCAGATAAATCCACTACCACTGCTATACCCCCAGTAAGAGCCACAAATGACATAACAACTGTTCAAGAACCTCACATTTCACCTCAATTATTCGACGAGGCTGAATTTCACTAGGTGGAGAGCCAGTGCAAGAAAGAAGCATTTTCAAATTTTCAAGAGTCTGATTAGGAGAAAAAAGAACATATTAGGAATATGGATTCCCTCATTGATTGGAGTCCCAAGAAGTAACCACCCAAATTGTCACTCCAAGAAAATAGAGCATATAAAATAAAATACAGGCAATACCATAAAAGGCGTAAATTGATCTATAATCTCTATTTGCCGACTGTCTTCATGCTAAAACTCATCTTCTCTAAATTTTTTTTTATTTCATAAGTTATGAACTAGAAAGTGTTGGAGTTTTACACAATTTTTTTTTTGAAAAAACAAAAAATACCATAACCTTAAAGAACACTTTTGATAATTCATATAAACCAGTTATTATCCTCAATTTGGATTAAAGCAAGATTTCACTTATAATTTTATACTGTTTTTGTCATAAAATAGAACTGTCAACAAACAAATTTCACCAGAACCCAGTGCAAGTAAATGATTTTAATCTCCTTTCATATCCTTCCTCCATGGCTCCACCTTCTATTTGTTTCACGATTCAGTACTCCCTCTTCACAACCAAGTGAAGCTCCAATCAAAAAGTTACTGAGATAATACAAGGCTACATAGCTTAGTAATAGTACCTGACTGCAGCATAGCCAAGGATGCCTACTGCCAATGAACCAAGAACAACTCCACTACAAAGTAAAACATTTGTCTTGAAGGCAAGATCCACCACCATCTGATCCTTAGTCATGTCAGACCTATAAAAGCACCAAAGCACCAATTATATCTCAGAAGTAGTTGATGTAATGAGTCACAATAGCACTAAATGGCATCCCCATCAACAAAAAGAATATTATGCCGGGTGGCACACAAGCGGATAGTGATTGAATACATATAAAAGCAGAGCTAGTAACATTTTCAGTTGTTACACCCTTATTACTCATCATTCACAAGACCAAATGTCATATTTTTTGACCTTTTAGAAGGATTAGACAAATTGTTGATATAAGCACAACTCCAACTTTGTAATCTAAGAAAAATGCTTTTATAACAAACTTCCTTACAAAAAATAGGGAAGATCCTTGCATGATCTGATCTCAGGAGTTTCATTTTTCAAACTGCACATGCCAACTGCAGTGATATCCTTTCCAAGTTGAAGGATTTTCTCTTCATCCAGCAGTCCAACCTTTGATAACAAACAAATACTACATCAAAAATCTCGGGTAGAATGATCATATAACAAAACCCACGTAAATGCAACTAAAGCAGTAGGAAGAAAGAAGAATGTTCCGATTCTAATTTTTTGTTTTACACACAAAGAAACCCAGTCGTGACTCATAATTTGAACTCACAGGATATTCATGACCAAAAAGTGCCTGGAGGAAAGTATAAGGAGTAGCATTAATGGGCTGCAAGTGATGATAAACTATCGTAAGCGGTAGTGGTTGCCTTGAGCCATCCATGTTCACAATCACATAATCAGATTGGGGCCACCTTCCACCTTCAACAAGAATAAATGGAACCTGTGGAGAAAACGAGAAAAACAAATAACCACATCAGAGTCAACATGATTGGCACTCAATTTGGTCTACCATAAAACAAGGAGTTACCAGAAACAACAAGTATATATTGTAGTAATATGTCAAAAGAACAAGTAGCAATGACTTTTCTCCTACACAGCAATTTCCAACTTCTGAAACCTCAATATGGAGATAACTAAAGTACATGGACATGATTAAACAATTCTCCATCCCAACCCCAACCTTCCCTCATAACTTCTTGCAAAATCAAAAACCTCAATATGATCATCGATACAGATATTTAAACTGTAAAATCTTAACTACCTCAAGCGCATTTAGCATTGAATTCAGGCAGATATTTAAGTCCTTTCTAATTTATAGTTCAGGCAGTCTAGCAGTAGCTACTTTTGCTTGAGTAAAGCACTTAGAGAACCACTAAAATGTTTAAGTTTTCAGCATCTATTAGGGTATCGACCGGCTTTAAACTGACACACATGCTTCAACCTGGATTCTTTGCTAAGACTTGTTCACCGAGCCACATACGAGGCTTCCAGTCATGCACGCCAATATATCCTATACAGGACCTATTCAAATGTTTCTTCAAAGCATTTTGTCAGTTCCCATCCAATATAGCCTCAAGGCTTTCACCCTTTCCATGCAGAAGTCCTAACCTCAGTCCATGCACAAAGCCACATCATTTATACCAATTTTTAAGAATTCCATGGACAAAAAAACTAGGGTCTGATAAACCCTCCATCCCTCAAAAAATCACAACCAAAAAAAAAAACAATGAAAAAATTTTGTGCACCGCACAACTTATTGCCAACTCAATAAGTTAAACAAGACAACGAAGGGAATAGAGCTTTCACTTAATGTGCATAAATGTGCTTGCAATCTGATAGCTCACTAACCAATAATGTGCCGTACATTGCATTTTGAATTCATAGTTCAAACATCAACTTCAAATTTTTTTGATAGTGGCAGAAACATCCATTTTATTGCAGTAGAATATTGTATTACTTGTTGCAGCCTATGATAAAAGAACTGTTAATGCATAAGAGTGATTATGGATTTAACAATCTTTTTATTGAAACAGAGGCCTCATAGGCTCATATTGACCACAGAGCTTTCACTTAAGAATTGAAAGATTACTCAATCAACAATCATTGATCACGATATATATGTTACATAGTATTAAATCTGCAAGAAATATTGTGTCATGCATGTGAAACCTGAATATATAATATTACTTTCAATAGAACTCTGCAGTAATGCCATGTGCATGTAACCCTCTAATGACCGGCAGTGACAATATAGCATGTCTTGAGTGGAGATTAATAGTTTTAAAAGCTCATAGAAAAGAGAAACGACTAGATTATATCAAAGACATACCGTTCTTAAAGAGGAAGACCCCTGCTCTTTCCAGGATCTCCCAAATAAAGAGCGTAGATCAGAAGTCCATCCAAAAAAGCCCCTCCACTCGTTGTATATACACTAAGTCATATAAACCACAATATCAAACGAAAGTCCCTCCAAAGTCAGACTAAGAAGAGCACAACATCTAAACAACAAGTAACAAAATCGTAAAATTCTTGTTTTTGGAAAATCATTTACATTCTGTCTTCTGAGTTACCCAGGAATGGAGAAATCATTAACCAGAAATTCAACATTTTTGTCATATGCATCAAGATAAATTCGTCCATTCGGCTCGCATGGATGGAACCCTAACTTTAAGATAGTAAGCAAAATCTCACAATTCAGAGCCACAGACTTCAATTAAGAACCAATTTGCTGGATAATTTTGAGTACCATGATTAAGTAATGAATTATATAGAAGATAATGAGAGCAATGAAATCTCAGCTATTAGGAATAATCAAAACTGAACAGTAAAATGACTACAACTAAAAGAGCAAATATATACGTGTGCATATTGAGAAAATAAATTAACAATACAGAAAATATTTATACCGTTTGCGTTCTCAGCAAGACAACGCCTTTTTCACCAGACTCGTTAGAGATTAGCACATTACGCCTCAAGCTCTTCCAATTGACATCAACAGCCGATTTCGCTTCGACAACGCCTCGAACGATCACTAGCTTTTCACCGTCAGATCTGTCCGAATTGTCGGCGTCGTCACCGGACAAAGAGACGAGGGAACGAAGGTCCGACACGCGAACGGAAGGGGCGTCTCGGATTTTGTGGAGGGCGGAGGAGTTGGCGGTGAACTTGAGAATGCTCCGAACGGCGACGTAGGCAAGGGCTATGCCGAGAACTGCACCGTCGGCGGCTAGAGCTAGTTGCGATAGGACTGCTGCCACAGCTTGATCGTGTACGGACATCGTTGGTTGGAGCTGTGGGTGCGTGTTTTTCACATCTAATAGAGTAGGCGGCGAGAGATCCTAGAGAACAGAATCAAAGAAGGGGGGTGAGGATGGGGTACTTATTGCCGATCGATTAAGGATACATTCGGTAATTTGGTAATATTTTTGTTTTTGTGTTTTTAAAAAAATAAAAAGTTAAAATAATTTTTTAAGAATAAAATTTAAAAATAAAAAATATGTTTGATAGTTATTTATATTTAAAAAAATTAAAAAAGATAAAATACATGTTTAGTCAAAATTTTGGAGCTTTTGACCCATTCCAAGCGGTTTTGAATAAAAAGTTTTAAATAATTGTTGATTTCAAAGTATTTTTTAAATTTAAGTTTTTTTAAAATTGTCAGTTGATTTGATATTTTTAAGCTAAAAGACGTCATTTAATCTGACATTTTAAGCCTAAAAACGTCAAATTAATTAACATTTTTTTATGCAACATAAAAATCATATAACACACTTACAAATGTCAGTGCAACTGACATTATTAGTGGAGTGGGTGTAGTGGGACATAAAAAGGGTGGTTTAATTACAACCACATCCCTTTTATTTTTTTACATTTTCGGTGCATCCCCTCTTGTTTTTTGGAATTACATATTCGCTTCATAAAATATATTTACCAAAAAAATCTTCTAAACATTTTTCCAAAAATCTATCAAAATATGTATCTGCCAGATTAAGCAAAAAAAAAAAATCTACTAACCTTTATTATCATTTTGTATTGATGATAGCTCAATTTTGACTAAAACAACAAAAGTATAATGGTAAAATATTTCACGTAAGGGTAAAAATCCTGAAGGGGAAATCCGTTACAAGATATCACATCCTAAGATATGCAATATAATTCCATAAACAACAAAGGGTGCAATGAAAAAATCATAAACAATAAGGATTGTCATTGTTTTTACTTGGTTCAAAAAGAAAAGTTCTTACTGAAAAAAAATGGTCACCTATGATCTTATTGCTTAGTTTTCAAAATCCCTTGACATGGGTACCACAGAAGAAAGATGAAGTCTTAAGGGAAAGACTACTCTTGTCACAGGCGAAACCAGAGGCATTGAGTTTGTATCTCTATCTCTCTTTCTTGCCAATGGAGTATTTTGTAATAAGATTTGTTTTTTGTTCTGTTGGGTCATTTGGGTATTAGATTTTTAGGTATATTGGTTCATTGTTCTGATGGGTTACTTGGGCTTATGTGTGATTTTTTTTGAGTATTTTGATAATTGAATGATTGTTCTGATCGGTTATTTGGGTTTTTGAAAGAATTTTTTTGTGTATTTTATTTTTTGAAATATTTTTCTGATGGGTAATTTGGGTTTGTGTTTGAATTTTAGACATGCCATTGTGGAAGAACTTGCTGGGTTTGGTTCAAGGAATCAGGCAAAGAAGCTTGATGAGAAGTTGAAAGACTGGGCGGCCAAGCTTGGTGATACATACATATTTATGCTTAAATCACAATAACAACCCTTATTGTTTATGATATTTTCGTTACACCCTTTCTTGCTTATCGAATTATATTGCACATCTTAAGATGTGATATCTTGTAACGAATTCTCCCTTCAATCAGGGTATTTTACCCTTACGTGAAAAAATTGACCGTAATGCTTTTGTTGTTCTAGTCAAAATTGAGTTATCATCAATACAAAACGATAATAAAGGTTAGTAGATTTTTTTTTTATATTTTTTGCTTAATTTGGCAGATAAATATTTTGACAGATTTTTGGAAAAATGTTTAGAAGATTTTTTTTGGTAAATATATTTTATGAAGCGAATATGTAATTCCAAAAAATAAGAGGGGATGCATTGAAAATATCAAAAAGTGAAAGGGATGTGGTTGTAATTAGACCACCCCTTTTTATGTCCAACCACACCGCTCCACTAAAAATGTCAGTGCAATATAAAAAATTGACGTTTTTAAGTTAAACATGTCAGATCAACTAACTTCTTTTGACTTAAAAACTTCAAATCAACTAACGTTTTTAAAAGTTCTTAAATTTGGGAAATACTTTAAAACCAACCATTATTTGAGACTTTTTTTTTCCTAAACCCCTTGGGATGGGGTAAAAGCTCCAAATTTTTGTGTTTTGGAATTTTCATGAATTGGACAAGATTTCTTAAATGTTTCTTTTAAAAATCAACCAAAATCAAACCAACAAGAAGCCAACAGCTCAATTCCAAATTTGAATGAAAAATTGAAGAGCTCATAAAAATTGAAATTATAATTATATATATCCAATTTAGAATCAACACACCCTAAACATTAACAAATATACATATTAAACCCTAAAAACTAAAAATTGCATTTTAAATATCAATATACCCAGCAATCTAAATAGTGATGCAGTATCGGAGAACCCATCAAAAAAAATCAAAAATTGGAGAATCCATCAAAAAAGCCACACATGCAAGTCAAGCTCGGTTTTGACAACCCATATGGAGTTTTCTAACTGTCCCCACAACACAATAACCCCCCTTCCCCACACACACACACATACAGATTTGGGTGTATGTAGATTATATACATCAAATTATCTTTGAGAGATAGATCTTGAGAGAGAGAGAGATATCTCGAAAAGAGCTTGGAGACTGTTTTGTCAAACTGAGATTTGCCAGAGAGAGTTTTGTCGAGTGTGATTCATCGGAGAAAGCTTCGGTGATTAGAGTTGCACACAAGATCAGACAACAGCTCGAGGAGTAAATATTGGGTGTAACCGATAGCTGTAACCATCCAATAAGAAAATAATAAATAAGATATAATATGGTCCATTTCCTATCATAGAGATGGATATATATGACATATCTATCAACCCGCGGAATACCCGTGAATATCGTATAACTCGATACTCCGTCATTACGCTCTATTTACCAGGATCTATAATTAAACGAAATTCTGATAAAGTCTCCTTTGTACGAAAAGTTTTATCCAATTTACAACCTATACATACAACACCTCTATGACCATTCCAAGGTCCAATCCAACAATGTTTAAATATTAAACAATAATTATTCATCCATAACCATCATCATACATCTGTTTGTTCTCAAGAGTCCATAAAAGTCTCATTACATGCCTTTAATAAAAGACAATTTTCATACTTAAACATTATACAAGGCCAAAAAGTAATTTTATACAAGGGACTACAAAATTCAAATGAAGAGCCACAATTCAACTTTATCCTCAAAGTGGGCCCAAGTGAGGGTCGTCAGCAAAAGTTCGTCCAATACTTGAAAAAAGTTTCCACAAAGGGGTGAGCCAAAGCTCAATAATGTATCTCTTATAGAGAATACCTCTCAATTTCAATGCATATGATATGAATGTGCACCAAACACACCAAGCATATATCTCAAGTAACATATGATTGCTACCATGGATGCCAAAAATGAATAATGTTTCGTGAATTTATATCCAACACTGAACCCCCTCTCGGGTTCCCATGCATGACACATGCTACAATGCCATGACATGAACTGGACCGTTGATGCTAAGCATCCAATGACCATTTATCAATACTTGTGTCTTTCTTGAGTAGGTAATTTATAGACATCACAATAACAGGCTACCGAACCAATACGGCATTCGAGGGCATCCCATCTTCGGTTTCAAGTACACTGACACACTTTTTTGAAATTATACCACCAAGTAAATGTGTGAACCAAGTAACTGGACCTTGCACCCAATGGAAAATCTATAACTTCTTGCTATGCCCGACACATTTTTTTATGCAATATTTCGTGCAACTCAATTAGACGTTCATCTAATTTTCTTGAGCCCACCCATCAACTCACCATGTGGTGATTGACCCAACTCATGCACACACACTCACACTTATGCCATACCCAAAAATATAATGCAACCCGTGCATATGTAATGTAATGTACAATTGTAATTTTATTCCATCACAATTCTAACTAGATCATGTAAGTATGTGACAACATCTCATAAATATCAACATGTTAATTATATCATGAGGCATATAATAATATTTCATTACTATCACTAAGCATCTTATAAACAATATCAATTCAAATGACACACTTGAACATACTTTGACATTTTTATCAAACACCTATAAGGCATAAACTATAAACATATAGCATACAAATTCATACAACTCACATTTAACATGTTCAACACCAAAAATCAAATAAAAGTAGGCATAACATGCTCATCATTCCATCCAAACATCCCACTAGCAACACTAGATACATTGTAGATATGTAAATATTCTACATAACTCTATCTATAAACCATATACAACTTGAAATTGAAGTAATCCTAAATAGTAGGAAACCGTCAAATCTTGAAGCGTAAATAAGGAGAAAAATATTCAAGAATGCCCAAAACAAGCTCCTTAAAACCCTAGCCCCAAGCCCTTAAATTTCATAATTGGTGGAAAATGCTTGAAGTTGATGTTTCCGCGTTGCTCTCGTCGAGTAAAACAACTTTAATTCTTGGTTGAATGAATTCTAACAGTCAAATCAAAAAGTTATGATCTAAAAAAAGTAGAAAAGGCTGAAAGATTTTGGAAGCTTTTTTTTTTTTCTCTCTCTCCCCCCAACATTTTTAGGAAGGCAAATGGGGAATTTTACTCCCTTTGAATACTCTTCAAGTGATTGGCTCACAATGTGCCACTTGTTAATTTTTTATAGGTTGAAAATTCAAGATAGTCAATCACAATGTGCCATGTGTCATACTTGGATAATGCTCATTAAAACATCTAGATCATTTATATTGTGAGTCCCATGAATTAAACAAAGTTGTTAAAATTTAATCGTGTATTATTCGATCGCACGTTTTATTTCATTTTACGTAAAAATTCTGATTGTCTCAAAATTTAATGAAATTTAATTAGGTAACTAAATTTTGTGAGTCGAATCCAACAGTGAGGTCCATTTCTTCATCTAAATTATATAAAAATTTCAAATTTTAACCTACACTTAAACAACTTAATTATCGTAATATCCTTTTAATTAAGATTTTAATTTTTTTGGATTTTACATTCTTCCCTCCTTAAATGAATTTCATC